TTTCAAAACTTGGCGTTACCAAATGGCCACAATCCAGTGTAACACTAACATTCTCATGTACTCTAATATCAATTGGAGTGGAGCCATTTGGAAGCTGAACATAAATTGTACCACCTACACAATGCATTATTAGAACTGATCCCAATCTACACATTGTACACAATATGTGACCATAAAATTAAAGCAAGAGCTGCCATGACAAAAAGGCTGGGTCTCAGGGTTCTGGTCTCATTAGTCTAATGCTATAATAAACCACAGGACATACTATCATTACTTTCAATGGCCTGTCTTCCATCCACAGGAATACTTAGTGTGCCATTCCAGTTATACTCCTCTGTGTAGTTGTTGTCTTGGCCATAAGTAATACCAAACACAGCAATCTGCTCAAATAATAATAATAACAATAATTTGATAATTAGATTATACTTTGCTTACCAGTGCTGAAGCAAACAAGGCCAAACTCTGCATGTTTCACCTCCTTTTTTAGTCTAAAACCAAACACGCAACAAATCTCAACTTGCTATGCTTGCAGCCTAAAAGAACCGCAGATTAATAATAATAATAATAATCATTATTATTATTATAATTTGCACGGAATGTAGGCGTGGTTTATGGAGCTATTTTAACCCTTTTAACACAGGATTTTCGTGACCAACACAACTCGAACACAACTGTGCCAAGAATAAAACTGAGCAGTCGGCACATAAAACAGCTCTTCTCCACTTGTTTGTGGCAAGAAGGAAAGAGAAGACATGTTTTCCTTTTGTTCTAACCTACTTCACTGCTTCATAAGCCTATCATGTGTTGTAAGTAACCCACAATAGGCTAATCATTATTGTACCTTACTATTTTAAAAGGTAACATTTATTGCAACAGCAGCTTCTGGTATCCTCCTGATACTAGCCTCAAAGGAGCCGAGCAGCTTACTAGGAGAAGGTGGCCCGTACGCTTTTGTACCAGGGATAGTCTTTGTGTCGGTTGCTATAGTGACGGTACCATTAGGGATCTATGGATGCTTAAGTGTTCGTAACGATAGCTCAAAAAGATTAGTAATAGTCAGTTTATAATAAATTGTTGCTTATTTTTGTTTGTAATGCATGTGACATTATGTCACGTAATAATATTATTTATGTTTATTTTTTTCTCTAGTATACTGTTATTGCAATTCTTGTCTCAATTGTCATTCTTTTGTGTTCAAGTGTCCTCTTCACTTTTACTTACACTAACATGGTAAGACAGTATCATATTCAGCATTATTAGTTATGAGTAAAGTGTACATTATTCATCTTTTGTCTTTTATAATTACCACCTCATTCTCTCTCTGACATATTGTCTTTCTTTGTCTCTTCATTTTTTCTGTTAATTCAAATTCTCACACTCTTTCTCTCTCTCTTTTACTTCTTCTCTTTTACTTCAGGTTAGTAACAACCTAAACTCCACTTTATGGTCTGAATTAAGGAAGCCCAACAATTCAAATGATACCAGCAAGATATTTGATATACAAACAAAAGTAAGTCTTGTTCTCTCTCCCTCCCTCCCTCCCCCTCTCTCTATACATGATATGAAGTTGAGTTGTATGCTTGGAACATACTATGTACCCACATCTGCCCCATTGCTCATCTTAATTTGATAATATTCCCATGAATTCCCTCACTACAGTACTCTAGTAGTACTAATACCAAGTACTCATATTCTCTATTGTACTGTTAGTGTGTTCCTGCTGTTAGTGTGTATGTGTGTACTACTTGTGGTGGTTGCTATTAGAATATGACAAGAGACACTTACTGTAGTACTCATTGAACCTTAATGTTCCCATTCCTACTAGTACTGTGGGATCCACTCAGTCAAAATTAAAAAATAATTTTATGTATAAATAAAAAGCTCAGTGTAAGCCTTATTATGTATGTGAATTAGCATTCGAATTTTTGAGAAACTTTTAAAATTCGTAAAAAATCCATATTTGATCGGAGTCAGCTCAAACTTTCTATGCAACTTAAGTACATGTATATGCATCAGAAAATGTAATAAAAATGGAGAATTCTCACCTTGTCATTTTTGATAAAATTTGGCTAATGACCCTTATAGTACAGGGACTTTTGTCCGATTTTGGAGCAACTTTAAAAATCATGGAAAAATCTAATTTGATCAGAATCACTTTAAAACTTTCTTGTGATTTCTACCTGTACCCTGTACCTTTTTACTGTTTAGAATAACAATATCATGTGTACATTATTTATTTATTATGATCTATTTTAATATTATTTACATTTATTATTTAAAGATATATGCAGGGTTGTCACCTAAGTGAAACCCTTCCAAAAATTATAGAAGAAGATTACGTACTTCCAGATCTAACCCCTTCCATCTGTTCAATCCTTTAAATA